GACAGCAGTGACCAGGGACCAGACCCAGAAAAACCTAAAAGTTCAAAAGCAGGATGGCCTGAGACCCTTGAAAGAAACTTAGGGTTATTGTTCACATTAGAGGATCCTAGAAATTTCCTGGATGGAAATTAGTTCTGGGAAGAACTGTGAATGCACCAGATGTGACAGTGGTACCAAATGAAATCTATCCAGACTAAAGTTTGAGTATCTTTTTCCAACACCTATTTTTGTTAGCACATAACAGAGGCAGGATTAAAGTATGGAAAAGGGACCCTCCAACCCTTTTCCAAGCAAAAGTTAGAAACAAAAATCTGTACTTTGTTAATTAGTTTATTTTTCTACTTTGATAGTATACTTATTTTGTTTGTGTTCTCAGTTTCTGAGTAAAGGTTATTTTGAAGAAACTAAACACAAAACAAAAATCTATACTTCTTGGTCTATGTGCCGTTAAGGGATTTCTCATGCAAATTCTGAGGGAGAGATAATCTTACTAAGCTCATTGTTCTGTGTCTGAGAATTAAGAAAAAGCCTCAGCTGTAAAGAAGGCATTTCTAGAGGAAATAAAAAATTAAAATATAGAAAAGAATGATGTGGAGTGGGAGTCCTGGTGAGGGAATGCAGTGGTCTGAGAATTAAGAAAAAGCCTCAGCTGTAAAGAAGGCATTTCTAGAGGAAATAAAAAATTGAAATATAGAAAAGAATGATGTGGAGTGGGAGTCCTGGTGAGGGAATGCAGTATGCAAACCTTTTAGAACGAGTGTGGTTGAACTATTTTTAAAAATATAATTAGATGCTTTACAGTATAGTATAATTTTAAACATTTCATTTAATAATTTTAGGCTGCCTTGAATAATTTTTAGAATGAGTTTGGAGGATACGTAAATATAAAATACACACACATTAAGCCATCATTGATGATGCTTTATCCCTATCACTTTGGGATCAAGTTTGATGTATCCAGCTCTACCTGGTTTAGAGTTTTGATTTTTAACTTTCTCTGAATATCAAGTTGCACGTCCCATAGGCTTTGTCATCAGGGCCACAGACTAGAAACACACTACTTATTCATGTCAGGAAATAAGTTTAGCAGAATTAATGGATCAAGAAAAAAAAAAGTTAACATGTCTCCTGTGATCTTACAATACATTCTGTTACTCTCCTGGAAGTCTTCGTTGTCTTTGTCAACTTTCTCTGGTTTAGAGCAGTAAGTTTCAATGTTGTCTTCTAAGTACCAGCTGAAATTTTCATCCACCACAGAAAACATCACCACGAATTCTTGGTCAATATTTTTTTCTTTTTCATTATCCAGAGAATCTGAAGTGAAAATTACTATTTTAGTAGAATCAAATTTTTAGCATATATTTTGATTTATGTTTTCAGGAGATTTATAATTTTAAAAAATTTTTAGTATTTATTTTCCCATTAAACTACAAACACAAACCAGTCACTCCTGTTTTACAGATGTGGTAATACTCAGGGAATTTCATGTTCAGTATCTTGGGCTTGAGAGACGCTCATTTATCTGGACATCCACCAACCGCATGACTATTAATGCTTTTTGGTAAATTGGAAATTTGGAATTCAAAGTTGTGTTTAGCCATAAGCTGAGGTGACAGTTTTTGCAGGTACCTCATTATTGTTCATGTAAACATTACATTTCAAGCTCCTGAGCCATGCTGTCTTTTTCATGATGTTAGAAGTAAATACCATGATGTTATATTTACAACATAATACAGATAACTACTGATCTATCACCGTGCAGTGCCACTAAAAGAGTCATACTCGGTAAAGTCATACAGCTCTTCCACGCCACTGTTGGAGTTGGACGAAGCAAACCTATGCCCAAGGAGAATGAATTTCTCGTACCTTCACTGACATTTTCTCCATATGAAGGCTTGTTGCTTTTATCTGTTCTTCTCCTAGTCCTGCCTGGCTTTTCCCTTCCTTTTCTTTCTAGACTCACCACCTCTTTACCTTACCTACTCAGTCTCAACACAGACTTGACGTATTAAAAAAGCAAACTTCCCTGTTCCTGTCTTTTGGTCATATATCGTGAGCAATAATCAGAAAAATGAGAAAACGTACCTTTTTTACAGAGGATGAAAGGCCCGATGAGTCCTGAGGCAATATCTTTTGGAGCATCAATGTGGGAATGGTAAATCCTAGTCACACAGTTGCCGTCTCCCTCACCAGGGCTTTGTTCTTCAGTGGCATGCAATATGTATGTATACTGCTGTCCCGGATACACTTTGTCATCGGCTTTTTGAAAATCTGTGGTATTATCAGGGTAGATGGCCCCTAGGAAACAACATGCAATGAAGTTATGTGAAAGTAAATGTGTCTGAAACTGAATGAGAGAACAGGCAGTCCATTAACTCATTCAGTAAACGGTAGTTTGTCATCTAATATGTATCCCTTGGAAAAGCGGTGCTATTGTGTCACAGAAATTATTATTTTTTACACTTGACTGAGTCTTCAGGGAGCAGTAATAGTTATGTCAGAGCGTAGTGACTTTTGGTTGCAATTTCAAGAACAACTTTTGCCCTGGGGTCATATGGAAGTCTGAGCAAAATGGATACCCTCTCCTATAACTTGAAGCTTCTTACATGATATCACATTTTTGCCTGTGAAATAATAATGAGATTTTGAAAATTTTAACTCTTAATTTTGGAAATTTCCAAACATACACAAAAGTCAAGAGAATAATATAATGAACTTCTATGTATCTGTCATCTTTAACAATGATCAACTCAAGACCAGTCTTGTTTCATCTATACTCACACCCACTCTTTTGCCCAGCACCAGTGAATTATTTTAAAGCAAATCCCAGATATTACATTTCATTCATAAATACTACAGTATGCATCCCCAAAAGGTGAGAATTCTTTTTTTTTTAAACAAAACCACAATACCATTATCATACCTTTAAAATAAATGCTAATTCCCTAATACGCCATGAAATTGTGAGAAAGAAATGAGGTGGCCGTCAGCCATTTATTCCAGTAATGCAATT